CAACACTGATCGACGCAAGAAGTCAAGTCAAGTGACATTATTCATTCTAACCTGAGGAGATATTGGAGGATTTCCGAAGGAACATCCTTCAACTACTAAGCGCTCCTGCTGAATGCTAACAATAAGCTTTGAGTAAAATTTTTTGGAAACGATTCTCGTTGAATTGATATTACTCAATCATGCTAGGCTTTTAGAGTGTTTTCATTATCATATCAGTAGACTGATGACGTTGTGTCGTAACTACCCTCGTTTCTAAATCATCTGATGAATACCATATGTTACTGATTTACAGTGACGTTTTTGACGTCGATATAACCTGCACTATGGAACTGCTACCTATGCTATTTATCGTTTTATTCTGTGCACTTGCCGTTATTGCAAATGACCAACCAAACAATCGACTCGAACAAAACGGCTGGTAAATTTTCTGTACTTCTGATTTCGAGTAATTCAGATATGTTTCAACGGATTGTTTGTTATATTGTTGTAATGCTCTCTATTGTAAGTGAGATTAGGAACTGAGAGAGCAAATGAAATCAGGAAGCGCTCCTCTCCATGTGAGAGCTTATTTTTTAGTTTCAAACTGTACAGGTGAGTTTTGAAGAGTCATGGAATCTGGTAAGAATTACTGAAAATTTTTCAGCTTGCTACCATTTCCGATTAGTTAAGTACACAGAATAACGAAGTGATGATGGATTGATTTGTTGCAGGGTTCGTATAAAGCGAGACTGGTACAATCGTGGTTATGGTTATGGAAGAGGTTCTCGCCGGTGGGGTGGACGCTATGGAGGAGGTTACGGGCGACCGCCATACGGTGGACAACCGCCATATGGGCCTCGGGGACGTTATGGTGGTGGTATGCCTCAAGGCAATACAGACGTAAACACGATGGATATTTATTCGTTGAATCTATTCGGAAATAAAGCAAAACAAGGCGATGCAGCTAAACAAGCGCAGGCAACGGCCGACAGATACGGCCAAACAGCGCAGAACTATCCGAGTATTTTTGGTGGAGGTGGTATCGGTAATATGAAAGTTCTG